TTTAAGTTGGGTGGACTGGGGGCATTGGGGGGAAAAAAAGCGGAAAGGGGAGGGAAGGGGAGGGGAGGGGAGGGGAGGGGGGGGGGGGCGGTTTGCCAGCGCTGTTGAGATTGTGGGTTGCGAACCTGGAGGCCCAGGGCGGCCTGTACTCGGAACATCAACTGAGTGCTGTGCAAAATCATGAAACACTCATGCGGCACATTTCGCACGCCCGTACGTGGGTTTGTGCGCACATGCTTCGCCGTATGCATTTACACGCGCTATGCCGCACGCTCCACTTTTCGCACGCGAAATGACGTTTCAGCGCAAAAGAAGGGAGCGGGACAGGATGGGCAGAATGCTATCGCTCGTACCACCGCTCTCTGCTGTCTGCTGTAACCTGTGTGTATTTGCTATGTACCGAGATCGTAGCTCAACGTTGTTCATTGAATACTGCTTAGCTGCTTGTACTCTGTAGAACAGCGACTCAGCGGGGGGGGAAAAAACATCATGACTATGATATATGTCTACACGTAGAGTCTACACACACAGGTTTTGTTTCTACGTGAGTTCGCTGTCTTTTCACCTGATGATTGCGTGCTCTCTCCAGAACAACCCTTCCCGCGTCAGTCATGCCCTGTGAGGCAGCAACGTGTAGAGGCAGGAAGGGAGGCCCCTGCTGCTCCAGTCCTCGTAGGTTGTCATCGGACGACTCAAGACGTATCACTAGAGCGTTCGTGATCTTCGCAGTGATGTTAGCGTGCCTAGCGGCGGCTTGCAGCCAGCACCCGCGAAGCCGCTGCTGCTCCTGTTCGTGGGTCCCCGTCGGGTTCATTACACCGGCCGTGACTCCCCACACGGGCGTGTCCACGATCATCGTCACAGGTTCAATCATCGTCCAAGCCAAGCTCTCCTGCCAAGATCTGTATTTATTTGTCGTCCTTGAAGTGCGGGATTCCGCCTGTTGGCGACAAGTTGTAGCAAGTTGGGTGGCCCGGAGGTTGTTCTTGCCTTACTTGCGTGGCTGCTGTTGTTGGGGTTCTTGGGTCGGGGGGTAAGGGTGGAGGGTTGTGAGTTGTGAGTTTGCGTGTACGCCGAACGGAAGTGAAGCCTGTGCGGCGCGAGCAAAGGTGGCGGGCAATTTGATGAAAAATAAAGAAAATAATAATCATGACGTGGATTCCTAGTCATCGATGTGTCATCGTCTTCTCGGGCTATTGGGAGGAACAGTCTTCCGGTCTCTGCCGAATATGACTTTAGATATCTTACCCCCTACATCCCTACATCGAGATCTTCGATGATGTGCTCGATTTCTTCATTTCTCCACGGCAAAGAATCATAGGCAAAGTACCGCAGGAGGGGTGGGCAGGGGGCCTCAGGGAGAGGAACCCTTCTGTGTGACTGTGGGTTGGAGTAAACGGCGCAATACTGTGAGCGCGGAGGATGCGCTGATGTTGAAGAGAACGAAGGCATAAAAAAAAAGAGAGATCGTACGGCATGTTTCCCGGGAAACAAGTAGACTAGATACTAAGATCGACTAGGATGGTTCCAACGCCGTCAGTTTCGGCACCTACACTCTTTCGTGCTGTGGATACCTGGCTTTGAAATTCGGTCCACGGGGTGATGATGCCTGTTACCTACCGCGTAGAGGAAAAAATATTATACTTCCATGCCGTAGGCCCGTGTAGAATGCATACAACCTGATCAGAGGGGGACAATATAATACCAGCTGCAATACTTCAGCTGTAACGAACATGAAACGACTTAGAAACACCCGCCCGTATCCATGCAGCAGTCGTGTAACAGTCCGTACAACAGTGGTCGTTTCATTGGCCTCCACAGGTAGTATCCAGCCCTCCACTGCTGTGGTACTATAGTATCCAGCACGCGGGAACAGAGCCTCAGATGATGGTAAGATCCTCAACAAAAATAGTCAGGTTTATTTGGGGAAACTCACCGGTAAATAACCGCCAAATAGTGGCGTACCATCCCCGAGTTTCAACTCTGGTTTGTCTCTAAATCAGTGATAGGGCCTCCAAGCCCTGACCAAACACATTCATTACTTTCATGTGTGACGTATGTGGTGTACAAACCGCCCACAACGACCACCGTTCGTTGTGAACAGCGTCGGCCCCGCGCGAATAAAAGTGATTTTTTCAATTTTTCAGTAAACGACAATCAATGCCACACACAGCAGTGTCAGCTGTACGACATCCATAAATAAGCCGAATCATGACGCAGAATAACCTCGGGGTTAGCAGCGAAGGTACCGCGAAAACATGGGTTCCTTACCGCCCACTTGGTTGCAAGTATCGGTGCAGGATCTACGAATCACTGAATTTTACAGCATGGGTATCATACATTATGACACGAACAGACAAAACTTGAGCTCACACAAAAAATCAACGAAGGGTATCCCTTCGTAGTGAACGCGATTCTTTCTAGAAGGAAATCTGAACAAATCAGGAGCACGAAAGAGGCACCGCATGAAATAGGCCCATTGCAGGAGAACCGTTTCAAGAGACCAGACTACTACTCGGATGCGCCCAAAACCCATCCTACATGGCACAAAATACAAAATACCCCTCCAACGAAACCAAAAGTCACCTACCGCTGCACGCGCCTGGATGCCCAGTGCATTCCTTTGCTTGGAGCTCCTTTCGACCTAAACCTGCTATACAAAAAGTACTACCTCACAACAGCGAAACCAGCAACGGCTTCGCTCTCACCTCGCCTACTACAATTCCCTGCAGCATTGAATAATGCCGCCCTTCCATGACAACAGTTCCGACTCTACCCAAAATTGTCCAAACAACAACTCCTTCACACCAACAACTCAGTAACTTGTTGCTCAAGAATTGTCCAACACAACAACCCCTTCACACCTACAACTCAGCAACGATTACTACCCGTCCCATACGCACCCAAACATCCGGTGCAAACACAGCTTCCCGACACCCCTTCAACAAACACAATAATGTTGCCAACGCGGCGCGAGTCCCGTAAGAAATTTCAAGGTCGGGATAACTTGCACAGCGGTTGCGGTGAACACGGACGGCGTAGATCGCTCAAGGCGAACAAACACCCCGCAAAGCGAACCAAACAAACCCCCTTCGCTGCAACACGCGAAATCTCCAGACGCAAGAACAACCAGTCCACTTACGCAGACAAGAGGATTGCAAGTCCACACACCACGGCTAGCGTGGTTTTCATTGATTCAGCAACAGTGTGAGAAACCCCGCCAGAGACAGTCTCCGCTTCGGCACCAGCGTCCGACCCAGACGGCGAGGATGTCACACCGACGTCTTCGGTGCTACCAGTAGGCGACGCGGAGGCTACAGCAGCAGGTGCGGGCGTTGCAACAGCAGTGGGTGCGGTAGTTGCAACAGCAGGGGCGGGGGAAGCCGTGCCCGCGGCACTGTTGGCATCGGCGCACGAAACGAAGCCCGGGCAACTAAACTCTTCGTCCGCAACGCATGCCGCGAAATCCTCGAGGAGGGGGTTGGTCAGGTCGCAGCCGTTGTTCGCAGCAAATGTGCAAACGGACGCGAACAGAACGTTGCAGTCTGCGAAAACTGGGTTAATGGTGTCGCTCGTCTCATCCAGGGCGGTCAGGCAGGAGCTGCAGTCGTCGTCCGCAAGACAAGAGAGCGTCTCCGAGGGACAACTGACGGCACTGTTAGAGTGCCCTACGCGGAACTGGTTGGTGGTGCACCACAATGCTAGCAGAGACGCCGCGCCATGGCGAAGGTTCATGCGCGTCATCTGCATCATGTTACACTTGCCGGGATCTGACAGCAGCGCAGGGGCAAGGGGGGCAAGGGGTGCGGAAGGTTGAGCAGGAGGAAGAGGGGATATTGCGTTTTTAACGCTTTGGAAACGTGTTTTGTTCAGTATACATTTCATGGGCATCCCTCATTTAGTAAGACACGCGTGGTTCCGCTTCTCGTCAAGTTAGCCAATCTGAGTGGTCGGCGCCCATTGTCACAACGCCGCGGCCTAAAAATCATTTGCAATGTCGTACAGTGCTCAAACAACGTCAACGTGTGTTCTCCCGACACGCCATCGTGAAACTGTTCAATTCTTGCCATGTGTGCTGTGTGTGCAAAGCTGTTTAATGCTTGGTGACATGTGCACCAGTCTCGTATCTCGCTAGACTGCTTTAAACCCCGTGTGCCCAAGCATCTCATGCTGCTCCTCCGCACATCATCCTAGCGAAAAATCACATGCTGCTATCTAGGATTAACCATGCTGGGTCTAAAGCCTCCTCGCTAAGACTTTGCCTCACATGTCAGCACGTCCCCAATGGGATTCTTGTTGCTAGAGCGAGAATAGTAGTGTGCTTGTAGGGGTGCTGAGCCGCGGGGTACGACTCAACACCTGACAGTAGTCTATTTGCGATGCTGGCGCAACGTGCGAGACACGCTGCTTCCAGGCAGCTATGCAGCAACCCAACGCGCAATTCATTCTTTGCAGAATATATTCGGACGGATCTTCCAAGACTGGTGCATCCGCTCCCGCTGGAAGTTTGAAATATTTTACTACACATCAACGGCGGGGGAACACACACGCATGCTCGCACACATGCCCGCCATCTGCTACAACAGCACCGCCAAATGATCGGCACCTAGCAGCACTGCCGCCGACATAAATGAGCAGTGGTACAGCTGACACGAATGCACCAGTGCTGTTGCTGCTGCTTTTGTAACGGCAATGGCTCCCATCTACCTTAAGGCACCCATCATGTATGTTGGAGATTATCCAACGGCAAGAAGAGCGCATCGCCAATGCTCCTTGTTGTGCAGTCAGAGAGCCGGCGCCACGTAGGTGTGTATGTAGCCAAAGAGGGGGCGACACGTTTACTATTTTACTGCTGTGTGTCCACATACGGAAGGGAGTGGCCACGGCGGGTGTGTGTGTGGTTCTACGGATGTGCGAGACATAGTTGCGTGTTACCTCTGTGTCACGTACTAGCAAACTGGCTTCGTTGTGGATCGATCTCTGATAGATTGTGTTCCGCCTCATGCTCAAGTCCAGGGGTTGGGGTGTGGTATCCCCTACGAATTTTCTGCACAAAAGCCTGTGTAGCACGGCCATCTGTTGTCGGAGCACGACCAAACCGGTGTGACGAAGAGTGGCCTATTTTTCTTCCTCCTCAGAGGCAACAGATGGTCAACCCGTCATCAAGTTTGGAGCACCTGCATCGTGTTGGGGTCGGCCGATAGTTGGAGCCTTTCCCCCCCTCGTAGGATGAATGGGAAAAAAGGACGCGCGCTCCGCGGCTCATTATCACTGTCTTTTCATAGGACCGGGCGGTGATATTGTAACACGCGCGGTGTTCGCAAAAATAAAACGTGGACGCAATTGAACAACGCGTTGTCCACCATCAGAGGGTTAACACTCGAGGTTCGGAAACAGGGAACTGGTTGTGCTCTGGGTCTCGGGTGCTCGGGTCTACTGTATACGCACCGCCATTGGTCCCATGCAGCAGTATAGCTACCGTCGTGTAAGCCGCGTGCTCGATCATATTCCGGCCACGATGCGCACTGCTGTACATACTTCATTCAATTTGTCGTTCCTCTCATCGCGTTTCTGCATTCAACCCACGCGGAAGTTTTACAGCAGGTGCAAGTGCGACCGATCCTCCCAACGAACTCTTCGCTGCTCTGGGGTCAAGCCCAAAACCGCACTACTGCGGTCGCCGCTTTTTCCTTTGCTCGCTGACACTGGCTAGCCGCTAATGACTTCACTTCTTTGCTTTCTGACACGGGCGTCTTTTCTAACGTCAGCTAGGAGACAACTACCCCCATTCCAAGTCCTCCTTCAAGTAAAATAACGCTCTTGTGGGGGGCAAACGGCATAGCTCTCTCGGCGGAAAAAACGAAAAACGGCGCCAAGCCCCAAGCCCCCTGGTCAACAATTCCTACAGCAGCGGATCGTAGTCGCAATACCAAGAACAACGCATCGATCGGTTTAATCCACAAACAAGGCAAACAAGCGAGTTTTGTAGCCACCGCATGCGGTGACCCCAACTGGAGCGCCCAGAAATTGTAGCGAAAGGTGTAAAAATGACCGGCGTCCAGAATAATCGTTTCAGAAGGCGGGCACTACAATCAAATTCTCCTTGAACAATGGCAGGGAGAGAACCCGGAATCCTCCTTTGATTTGGCCGACCACACCCCCAACAACCCCAACACACATACCGCTGTGAACCACTTCCTGGGACATAGCTAACACAGCTAGTTGCTGCCACCGAGGGTTGCTTGGTGTTCCCATTACATGTGAAACCAGCTATGTGGAATACCAACTTCGACTCGAGACGGATGTTCGTAGACGTTGTTTTGAGGAAGAAAAGTTGTCAAACAAGACTCGAAGCTGCCGTTCACCGCAACTCAAGGATCAACCCTTCAAGAGCACTCTCGAGGGTGTGCCATGCACGACGAGTTATGCCTTCTTTAACTGATGCTGGTTGTACCTTGCACATGTATGCAGATTTTGTGCGGTCGTCAATGGCTTACATCAACGCCACTCCTCTGCCTCTGTTGGTTGTCTGCATGGATTTCCTTAGATTCTTCTTCTGTCTCTAATGTTTGTGTTCCCTCAGAACGTTCTGTACGGCAACTTGTGGTCCCGTCTGAATTGTTGCATTGGTACAATTTCAAGATGCAATGGCGTGAAGAGAGAGCTGGTAGTTCAGAGTTGTGACGCCTGTTCCTTGTTGGCGTTTTTTTTTGTTGTGTGGGTGTTAGGTCGGCAAAAATGGGTACGCAAATAAGCCATGCACCCATGCCCTCGACAGATCGAAAACACTACCTGCAGGCAATTAAAAGGGAAAAATGTTCCGACGCTCGAACCCCTGACCTACGCTATTGCGTACGTTGAGTCGAGTCCCTTCAACCAGCGACCAGTTGATTTTCAATCAAAGCAATTATAGTGCTTCTGAACACTACCGGATGCTCTGCTTTTGCAGGGGCACGAAACCAGCTTAAAACCCTAACGCTAACCCTAACCCTAACCCCAAACCCACCCGACAGGTGCTAGGTTGGCGCTGGTGGCTCAGTTCTAGGTTGGCGTGCCAGGATTGGCGCTAGGTTGGTGTTGACGGGGAAAAATCTAGGTTGATAATGCCTGGATAGGTGCTAGGTTGGTCCCGACGAGGCTAGGTGCTAGGTTGGTGGGCCTTGGAGTAGGGCTAGGTCGCTCTTGGATGGTAAACGGTGTTCGTGCAGGTCTGTATAGATGGGATTTGCCAAGTTGTGGGTGCATGGCTTACGTGCGTACCCATGGGTGCATCGAATGTTTTGCGTGTTGGCAAGTTTTAGGTCCCGCACCCTGATGTGACTGTTGCAAGCTTATGATCGAGAACCCATTTAGCTCATCGGAGGCTCTTCACTTCAATAGTTCGCACAGCCCGACACGTCCAAAAGAGAAAAAGAGAACGGGCGAGGGATGAATCAGAGCTTGCTTCTAACACGTCTTCACGAAGGGAAAAAATAGCTGGACACGCGAGGTGCTGGGGGAAGGGCAGTAGAGGTAAAGGGTTGCGATTTCACGGTAAAACCAGGGCTAAAACAATGTTGTGTGGGGTTTTCTTGCGAGACATCTTTGAATCTCTTTTTGTAGAAAATATGCATACGTACAACAAGGGCGACCGACGGCGACGATCGACGGAGCGACGGCGGTGCGTTCGACGAAGGCGGCCCAAGGCCACCCGATCGATCGACCGACCGACCGACCGACCCAAACCTGACCCTACTCGACCGCGTACCCAACCCGACAACACTCGTTCAACCCCAACTCGATCCCAACCCAACACGGTCAGGTGAAGACGACAACAACAACACCAGAGCAATATACAACAGCCAAAACCCGCCTGATCTCTTGAAAACCACTGCAACATGCATACGCGACACTGGTGACTGTAACCACACCGCCTCACCAAGCCCTCTCAAAGAAAGAAGCACACGCCAACGCGCGAAAACACTCCCGCCACAATTTGTTGTCATGGCACACACTGAACAGAGGCGGCAAGGTTTGAAGCATGGCTGGTTTGTTTTATACTTCTATATACAGATCACAAAAAGCACCGTTCGAGACGTGGGATGAACTAGTAATATCCTTGCAAGAGTTGGAGAGGTGCCTGCATAGTTCTGTGTTCGCACTACTTGTCTACCTGCGGTGCACACGTGCACACCCACCTGGGTGTATCTACCTGCAGTCCTCCTATGTTTGAAGACTGCTTCTTCTGTGGTTGTTGTTGTTGTTGTTGTTGTTGACTTCACATTAAAAACCTTTCCGATCTCTCTCTACCCGGTACCTTCATACGTCCGTACTGATCCAACACTTGACGCGGTCGATTCCCGTGGTCACCGGCTAACTTACCCTAAAAAGGTACACTCAAATAAGAGCAGTGGCCAAAATCGGGTACACCCGGTCAGAACACGGCCATAATCGGGCACCCCTACAAGACGCTGCTGGGAGCGACCGCATGCCACCATCTGATTGGCCGGCGCCCGCCCCTACCCGGCCTTGGCCGTCTTTCCACCGGGTGCACCAGATCTTGGCTACTCACCCCCGGAGGGGTACCCGGTTTTTCTTTCCCCTACCCGAAAATGGCTGGGCTGTTCGACCAAAACCCATGCACACAATCACGGGTCGGACGCACACCACTGGCCCTCGTTTGTCGCCAATGAGCAAGTAGCGGGAGGAGAGAATATGTCTACTTTTTAAATGAGTCCCGTGTGTGTCGCATCTCGTGAGGGAGGGATTCATCCAGCTCCTCTTCTCGATCATTTGCACAGACAGACCGCCAGCCGTTTCCGTCAAGGGAGACTTTCACCGCCGGCGGAGGGTCTGCCTCCGCCCGGCGGGCCGTCAGAACGTCCGAATTTTCGAGGGCAGGGCGTTGCTGACGTGTACTTGTGTCCATGGGTTTTGGTCGAACAGCTCAGCCATTTTCGGGCATAGGGGAAAGAAAAACCGGGTTTCCCTCCGGGGGGTGAGTAGCCAAGATCGGGTGCACCCGGTGGAAAGACGGCCAAGGCCGGGTAGAGGCGGGCGCCAGCCAATCAGATGGTGGCATGCGTTCGCTCCCAGCAGCGTTTTGTAGGGGTACAGTACCCGATTATGGCCGTGTTCTGACCGGGTATACCCGATTTTGGCCACTGCTCTCAAAACTGGCCCCGAGGGGTCCGCAAGTCAATAGAAATCAACGACAGATATTCTGTAGTCCTCCGCTCCCTCTGCTCGCTATGCGAGGTAACAACTGAGACTAGGAGTCAGCATCACGGGCCAGAGAGAAAGAGGTACACCCCCTTGGTTCAATCTTGGTGCTTCACACGCAAGCAGAGACAAGGTCATCTGACACCGAAAAAGACAGAAAGAAGAGCGACGAAGAGGAAAATAGAGAAAAAAAAAAAAGGAAAAAAAAAAAGGAAACATTTGTCGAATACTTCCAGAGTCTACTGCTTACTGCTGTGGTAGCGCCCGTTCAAGTTTTCCACGTAAAAAATCAAGCGGCAAGGTGGGAGTCTATCGTCTACTGTTGAGAGGGCATGCATGGCACTGCCCAGAGTGAAGCTGAGCGAGGGTGCGCGAAGCTGCCGCGGAAGGGAAAAGGGTGTGCTGGGCGCTGGGTGCGGCGATCTGCTGTGTCTGAGGCTGCGGTGCTGTGGTCCTTGTCGCAACACACGCATGACCTAGGTACATACATACACGATGGACACATCAACAAAGCGGCCGGAGTTGCCCACCCCCCGTCTTCATTTCTATCTTGGTCAGCCCTGCGTAGGAAACTCTATGTAGCGGCTTCCACCGGATAATATTTACAGCAGTTGGCAGTGTTCGACAAGGAGACGGAACGAAAGAGCCTCTCACTCTCTGCCCCTGGCATATCATATGGATATGTACAAACAATTGTCTGACATCCGAAGAAACTAGGTCCATCCTTGAGCAAATTTTTCAACCAACGAGAGAGAACAATACACATCGGCCTAAGATCTCTCACCGACGTGGGGCTTGGCAGACGGCGGGTCAGTCCTCCCCTTCCTGATGTCCTCTGCACGTGTGCGGATAGGTGTGTTCGTTGCACGGCTGGATTTTTTTTTTTTGCTTCTTCACTGCGGACCAATTGTTTATGGTTCGGGTTCTCGCTGTACCCTCACCCCCCCACGCGTATCACGAATCCACAGCTGACAGATCCACAGCAGTATCCAGCATCCAGCATCCAGTCCCCCGGTGCCGACGCGATGAATACGATATGCGATAATCGCACGTCACATGCACTATTGCTGTACACCCAATAGTGTAGTCTCTGCTTTATCTTCCTGCCCGGCTCTTCGCACATCTCTCGATGCTGTGTTTAAGATCTAGACTACATGCACAGCAGTACCTGTGCGGTAGCATGCATACTACTTACAACGGCGTGCGTAGGCTGTATCACACGGCTACACGAACGCCAATACACCTGGACTGCTGTGCGCGACGTCCCATTATTGAGTGAGGAACAAGCAGCGTCATGGTTTGTGTCTCATTCATTGGAGCAGATAGCACCTTTGGTGTAAATGATCAAGTACACCCTGATTTTTTCATGCAGAACGCGCCACCGCTTTATTTTGCGTGAGGCTTCCGACCATTGTTGGTTGCCTCAAACCGAGCAGCATGCTCTTTACTTTCAAAATAAGCTCTTATTTAGACTAGAGCAGGCATCCCCCTAGGATACACGGGCTTCATGCTCTTATTGCTACGCCGATTACCCCATGCAGAAGACAGACAGATCGTTCTGATGGTTGGGTGGATTATTTTAAGGGTAACAGCCAGCAGTATATCGTCGGGCAGCCCCCCCCCCCCCCTCCGCGCGAGACGCATGGAAGCTAATTTGTGTGAATCGGAGAGGAGGGGTTGTCGAGAATAGCTTAGGAGGCGAAGTAGGCAAACAAGAACAAGGGTAGACGATTCACGGAGTGGTTATAAGGTTGTTAGATGACGTATGAACGGAGTTCGAAATCGATGAAGAAGCCAAGATATTGGAAACGGTAGGTCGAGAGGGGTTCAAGAAAGAGATAACATGGATCGGAAAAATGTTTTGTGCTGCTTTTGCCGAGACAGAAGAACAGAATCTAACCGAAGACACCAAGGATAAGGAGGGCCTAGACGTGTACGGAATGTTGAACGAAGGAATAGGGTTCAACGAATACCTACATGGACCAATGCAGGGACAAAGAAAGCTGAAGGTCAAATTTAGGACTGGGGATGTTGGTCTTCGAGAACGTAGACAGACGAAGATTTAGGAAGGTTGTCGATGGCAACGACAACTTCAATTAAATTTGAAGGCGGCTCCGAGTGCGAAGGCCGGGTTCATTTATTAGGTGCGGAGTGTCCGTTGTACGACAAATAGAGAGAAATACATACACGACTGAGCTGGGGACAAATGTACAAGGAGGGTACATTGACATGTTTGAGCCATCGGATAGCAAGGAGAACACGGTAGCTGTATACTGGGACATAGACTACGTGAATAGGGTGTACCTTATTGAGGATAGGATGTGGGATGGTCAGGAGGTATACCTGCATGGTGTCCATACCACATCAGATTTTTTTGCTCTGCGCGCCCCCTGAGATGAAGTCGGATACTTCCTCTCAGACCTTCCCTCAGCAATATAATGCAACTTTCCCATTTCTACACGTTTGTGGAGCAAGAGCGTCGAGCGAGAATTACTTTTTCCTCAGGAAGCTACTATCTACGGCTTGTGCTCCTTCATACTATGCTAGGAAAACGATAGAGTCAGCGCAAACAGGGCTGAGTAAAGAGAGCCGCTTGGGTCACTGGTGGATGTCCACCGTCGACGACACGGTATCCTCGTCACCAAAAAGGTGTAAAACTGTCGAGTGAAACGTTGCAATTGAAGCACGGGGTGGTGCTGCGTAGTGCCCCCCTGCTCCGGAAGGCTTACTCTCTTGAACAGAATACTCAGAGTGAAGAAATTTCTTCTCCGTCTACATCGCTTGTGCGTTCTGCCAGCTTTGCGGGACAGAAGGCAAGACACAATGGTCGCCTCGCGTGCTACCCTCAACAGTTTTTTCAACTGCTCCATCCCAAGCAAGTAGGATCCTCGGTCGCCACTGGGGGGAGGGACGACCAGCCAAGTGTTATGATGAGCTTTAGATGAGCATGACAAGGGCACGCGACTCTCAAAACAAAAAAAAGGCTGCAAAATCACGGGACACCTCCAACCGGCTCGTGAAGTTAGTTGATAGACCAAAAAATCTGTTCTTCGCTGCTCTCAATTTCGTTTTGTTTCGGCAAGGTGATGGTGGTGGGAACTCCAGGAAACGAGTTTACTATTTGATCACGTTAGTTGCACGGAGGGGGGGGGCGCGCGGACCAAACATCTCATCACAACCATCAAACGACAAGTAGCACCGTGGACCAGATCGGGTCCACGAAACACCGTTGAACGCTTGGGCCAGCAGCGCCAGGAGCCCGTCACCGTCGCAAACACCACGTCCCAAACGCACGCGTGTGGTCTCTTCCGGCCCGCCGCCTCTGTTTTTCATCATCCCGCTTCCTTTTTTATTCCCTCCCGTCTCCTTCTCACCCGGTTGTCGGCGTGGACTCTCTTCATTCTCATTCGTCCCCTTTCTTCCCTCATTCTCTCTGATGCTCTCTTAACGTACCGCGATCTGCGTGCCTGACTGTCTATGGTGTTCTTGTTGAGCACGTGCGGACCCGCCAGCTCCTCGATGTCTTCCTACTCAATGAACCCTTCACAGCCCTAAAGCGCACTATCTTCTTCACTTTTTCCCGGGTTTCCCCTTCGTCGCCTGTTTGGTCTTGCCACCCTTTGTGGTGGGTTCCAGCGCCGCCCGTTCTTCCTCCACAGCTTCCTTTCGCGCTCTCATCTGCAACAGGGAGGAGACAGCGGTGATATTACAATTCCGGCCCTCTTGTGAGAAAGCACGCGTTCGAAGGGAGCGAGGCTGATGCATTGAGATGAGGAAGAGAGCGGCGAGGTTCAGTGGCGAGTGCCACACTCAGGTGTGACAACCACACTGAAAGCTGGGAAGATTTTCTCGCAAGAGCATCATTACTGGTTGCAAGGTCGCACCAGCCCGATTAAGTCGGCACGAGGCGTTACTAATTTCGTGACACTAGTCCAACATTTTGGGAAATTGTTGCTTATTTGTTACCAGGAAACCCAACTTCTCAAAAGTAGTATTTCAGCTGATGCCCAGTAGAGTCGAATGATTCCTCTCCCGCTGGTCTATTGACGGACCGTCTTTCACGGTAATGATTTACCCTATGGGCTCGTCTTTCTAACAAGAAAAGGTTCCGCGATGGGGGAGCTTTTCTGATGCCGGAAGGGTTCAAAATTAAAATTCCCTGCCCCTCGAGGGTACTCATGAACAAGCTCTTCCATACTATGTACTCAACCGACCGTATCTGACACTCTACATGTGAGGAGCACTTGGTAAGCTGCTTCTTCTTGTATCAAGAAACTCCCACTTGAACGCTCCCAATTTCGAAGTTCTCAATCATATTTTTTGGTGCGCGTGTACTGTTCATAAATCCAGGACCCTCCCTTCCGCAGTACGCAACACATATTACCGTCGACCTTGTCCTAGAGTCTGTATTAATGGACGACATTTTCTTCGAGAAACACCACCGAGGGCGTGCCCACCTTCGCAATGAGGTCTTGCACAATTGTTTCCCTGTCGCGGAGGAACGGCAGCCGAGCCTGTTTGATGCTTTCCTCGCGTCCGCGAATATACTCCAGCTATATGTTGTGCCGATGGACGTAAACAGGGGGGGGGGGGAGAGGACGGGGAAAATACTATCAAGGTAGGCCTGCTGCCAACATAATCCTCGAAATTATGCCATCTTGGTAACGGCTTGCACGCCAAGGTGCAGTCGCATGCAAAGAGTAATCGCGAAGCTTTGGTGTCTTCGGTTCGATTCGCGCACATCCCCAGGAATCACGCCGAAGCCCAGGTGTTCTGTAGCAGTTCATTCCCGTTGTCCATGAAGAAAGGGGTTGAAACGGCTATGCACGACAACCGAAACCTACCGCATTTTACGGAAGAGATATCGGACGCCAGTGGATACCAATACTCCATTTGACAATATTGTTTAGGTTGTGGTATTTTGGTGTGAGCGGGGTCGCCTCTCTCGCATTAACTACAGTATTGGTTACCTTCGCCCCTCACCCGGCTGAGAAGACATCGGAAGACAAGCACTGACACCAATGCCTCGTGCGCAAGTGTGGTGCATCTTCCCTCTTGGCCAAACTGCTTAGACTTAGACTACTCATGATCTTACGCTGGAGTTCCCAGCATTGGGACCTCTGACACCGAAGATTGGACTGTTTCGGTTAGGTTCGGCTTGGGGAATGTGATACCAAAAAATCCCGCGTGTCTGCTAGTGTGTGCTGTCACTGTCAACTTCTTTTGGACTGTTTCCGTTTTCATAGTGGCATGTGATAGTTTACGCTAAAACAGCGATATAGCACCACAGAAAAAAAGAGTTACTACATAGTCGAAGGCAGCAAGAGCCGGTTTTAGTTATGTGTAGAGCAAGCAGCATGCAACCTCAGAACACTAGGAAGACAACTTGAAGGAGGCTCTTGGGTAGTAGAAGTACCTGCATGGCCATCTCTTGCATTCCAGCCTCCACCATATCAACCCTGTCGGCCTCCCACTTCTTCTCGAACTCCATCGTCGTTTGTCTCAGAGCCACCCTCTCGTCGGCCCTTTTCTTCATTTCTTCGTCGCTGATGAGTGCTGAGGGCACTGGTGGAGATGACAACGAAGCCACGACCAAAGAGGGACTGCCACTGGATGGCGCTATTGGTTCCGGCGTGAATATTGCTCCTGTCGCTGGCATCGCCAAAAGCGCCAACCGGCTTCGCTCGTAGCAATGAAGAGCGGATCAACACACCGCGAGGAGGGGCCGACAATATCGCGATATTCAGGACGGGGTTATTCAGCCGGCTTCGTATAGAGCAGAAGAGGAGGGAAGCTGGGGGGGAGGGAAGCGAAGGAACCGCTACAGTAGATGGGCTTCTGTTGTAGTCAGATGGATATCACGCTTGGGGGCCACATATGGTTTTTTTCACGTTGTTTCATCACCTGTTTCGATCTACACCTGGGATACCACTGACGTCAAAAGAGACCCATATGTCCACCCTATTGTAAACCTAAACTTAAGTCTGGCCCTGGTCCCGATTCACGCCAAATGATCCCCATAATAAGATGGAGAGGGGCTGAAGAAGACGCTTAGCGCAATCATGGCATCTTCCGGTGACGCCTACGTCAGCCCGACCAGCCAAGGCTGACAAAATCGAACAGAATGTCGTGTCGGTACACTCCAGAAACGTTAAGGCAGGGCCCACCTAGCGTGGCGCTCTCTCTCCAGAGTGACAGGAACACCAACAGCCGCGGCCCTCGCCTTGATCCAATCCTCGTACCCCTCCTCACCCGGTTTAGGGTTGACGCTAACGTTGGAGCTTGTCGTGGGGCTGGATGTTGCCACGTTTTCGGGCGAAGACGAGGATGTCAGCGACCTGTCCCCGTTCCCGAGACTAGCCACCTATAAATAGAGGGGGACAGGACAACGGATTATCGAACTTGTGGGGCGTCTGGTGATGTGACGGACGCGCGCATGGTGCACTCGTACCAGAACGTCGCTGAGGGTTGTGAATAAGATAATCGATTCGTCGCCAGCCGCTCTTGTCACGACGTTCTTGTTTATTTGAGTTTTTCTACTTAGCAGAGCAGCGTGCCTCGGAAGGTGTCGAAAGCCAATTCCACCTCGCCGCTCAAAGCTGATCAACAAGGTTTCCTTTCACCGCGAAAATCAACAGTTCCCGCCTGATGAATCACTCAAGCGGTCACCTTGGACGCCTGGCGTTGGGTCCACAGGAGCGCCGCTCTATCAGCTCTTCCTGGTGTTGCGGCCTCCCAACTGTGTAGATACATACATGCAGGGTTGGGTTCCGAAAGCGAAGGAAGCGGTCAGGGGGGGGGGGGGGGGGGGGGGGGGGG